TTACTTCACAGTAGCTACACAAGACATATATTTTAAAGGCTGTGGGTATGCTGTTTCTTGTTTCTGTGATAACCACTCTTGTTTCATGACTATTGATACACATTCACGACCATTTTTACCAGAAGCTAAGATGTTGCACCTGGGTGTGCTAGTAAAATACCTTACAGTTATATACAATAATTAGTTCACTGTGGTGATCGTAAAACAATCACAAGGCTGGGTTTCTGTAGTAAGAATTCTGCTGTAGTACAATAATGTGGAGATGAGTAGCATTTAGCACACTCACTGTCTTCATCTCTTGTGTCATGCTCAGGTTCAGGCAGTGACGTTAGTTGGAGGAGGGATTTCTCATCTCCAGTGACAGTATCTCTGAGAGAGCCGTCACCTGAATCCACCTCTGGCCCACCAGTCACTGCCATTGCTGTTACCATCATTGTGATCGTTATCGTCTTCCTCGCTATCATTGTGGCCAGTCTTGTTGTCTACATCTTCTGGTGAGTGCCACAACTAGAAGAGTGCATCTAGCTAGCCTCCAAAGTTCCCTCATAGAGATGCACTTTACAAGTGCATGTGATGTAAGTGGGTAAGTGGTAGCAAGAATCATGTATAAACTGAATGTAGCCAGTGTGCACGAATGAATGTGAGAAGAAGCTCCCAGTTACCTGTAGCTACATTATGAAGCACAAGAGCACACATAATTATGTGGATGCAGACCGTGGCCGTCATTGTCATCCTTGGTCTCATTGTGGCTGCTCCATGTACCTATAATTGCTGGTATTTTCTCCGAGACTCACAAAAGGAATGAAGGATGATTCATTAATGTGTGATACATAGATATAATCATACTTGACTGCTGTCATTCACACAGTTTTGTCTTTTTCACTAACAACACTTGTGTGTTTAGCTGCATACACTTCCCAATGTATAATAACTATGTAAATTTTCTGAAGGACGATCATTTGATGAAGGAAACTAAAGGGTTCTGAAGGCTTCTTGTAAATGTCCAGTCCACACATTCAAGCATCCTATTATGTAAAGGCTCTGTTGCTAAACCCTGTCAGTAATAATAGAATAACGCTAACCCTTGCAACATGGTACACTTTTTGCGCACAGCAAGTGGCACCAAGATGATTTGCATTTCTTCAGATTAAATACACTAAATACACTTCACTTTCATTATAACTACGAAAAGAGTGCATTAACCAATAATTACGCTTTGATGCGAGCACCCAGCGTACAGAATGCTGATGCACATGGGTTGGACCACGATGACTATGATGACTCTGGTCAAGATATAGCAGGTGTGGCCCTTGGGTAGAGTCAGGCCCTTGCAGACATGGTGTAAGCGATGATACAGTGCATGATTAGCCCAACAGCTAATCATCTCTAAATCCCTGTCCACACTGACTCCACCCATCACACTGAAGACTGCTCTCCAGTGTCTCATGCCATTATCGGGTGGGTATTATGGGTGGGAAGAGAGTCCCAGTTGCTGGCAGGGAGAGCCACTGAGTTTGCACATGCTCAGTTGTTTTAAACAGAAAATACCTGCTGTACAGAAGGGCCTACACAGCGCATACCCAAAGGCCAGACTCACGCCGCTCAACGCCATCGCTCTAGTTATCGTTTTAAAGTGTCTTAACACCACATCCCTGTAACTGTGCTTGTTCAACGTGTGGTTTGACTTTTTCTTGGCCCACCAGGACAAGGATGAAAATGAAAAAGAGAAGAAACTTACAAATTATTTTCTCTACTGGTAAAACTACACACACACACTCAGTTATTTTTGTTTTACACTCTGTTTTCATTTGCCTACACTATAGAGCTGCCTGATGTGTCAGAACCTGATATGCCGGATCCAGTCATGAAACTATCACGACAGATGTCTGATGAAGGGCTCTTTGTTCCCCAGAGTAGCATTACTATTCAAAACGTCATTGGTGAAGGTGAAAATCATTAGTGAATGTATGAAATGTTAATTTTATTAATCATCCTTTGCCATTAAATGTAGGACAGTTTGGAATTGTATACAAGGCATTATTACATAACTGGAAAGGATACATTCGTGATGTGGTTGCTGCAAAGACACTAAAGGGTAAGAGGTGAACTACTTGGTATAACATCATCATCGGTAGACGAAGAATGTTAGATAGTTTCTAAGTGTACACAGCTAACATGCCATGCGCAACCTGGTTTACGAAATAATGCGTGACAGATGCTATTGCAGCTCAGCCTAACATTTTCTGCCACAGCAGCGTGGTATAAACCCCTACATCAGCAGGTCATCTTTTCTGGGGCTTGCCCCTTGCTCTTTGTACATCTCCAGAGCTTAGCTGCTGCTATACAATACACTACAGTGACTTCCACCCTCTGTAAACAGAATCGGAAGTGCAGCTGAGTAAACCGTTCCTAGGCAGAATGACACCTGGCTCTAAGATCAGTGTTCATTAACTTTTAAAACCTTGGTGCAACAAGTGGAAAAATCATTTCTCTGAAATGCAGGGGGATGTATGGATGGCGAGTTCCCGACAAATGAAGAGACTGAAGGGGGGGCTCAATAATAACAACCCCATTCCTACATCTTTGTCCCAGTACACTTTGCTGTACAACATACAAAACGATGTGGACAAGATGTAGGAGTGGGGTTATTATGATTATAGACCTCCCTAGTCTCTTTTCCCTCGTTTTCCATCCCTACATCCCACTTCATTTCAGAGAAATGATTTTTTCACTTGTTATTCTTACAAAGGACTATTCAGTTTGAATGATGTCCAGCATCTAGCAGAGGAGAGTAAGAAGATGGCTAGATTTGATCATCCTAATGTCATGAAGTTGATCGGTGTGTCCCTCAGCATGGACACAATCCCTTTCCTGCTCATGCCATTTATGGCCAATGGTTGTTTGCTATCATACCTGCGAAAGAACAGACCAGAGTTGACAGTAAAGAATGACATGACAGAATTGGTAAATGTTATTTCTTAGTACAATATCACTGTCATAACTACATAGGGTCATTTTGAGTTACACATTAACAACATGCACTTGTGTTCAATTTTCACACCTTGCAATTGCTTCAGTGTAAACATGATCCTAGCTATACCATGCATAATTATTATGATGTGTTAATCTTTATTAGATACCGGAGAATGGGTCAAGGCTACTGTCAATGTGCCTACAAATTGCAAAAGGCATGGAGTACTTGGCCTTCAAAAAGTTTGTCCATCGAGACCTCGCTGCCAGGAACTGCATGTATGAATAGTGAAGCACTTTGCTTCGTCACATGTCTCATTCTGTTAATGTTAGGATTGATCTGAACAACGTCATAAAAGTTGCTGACTTTGGTCTCTCAGAGGACATCTATGCCAGAAACTATTTTAGACAAACAGAAGAGAATGAAGAAGGCCCTGTGAAATTACCAGTCAAGTGGATGGCTCTTGAGAGCTTGAACGATGGAGTCTTCTCTGAGAAATCTGATGTGGTATGGATGTCTTCTGATTCTGAATGTCTATTGTCCAAAATATGTATCACTATGCAGTGGTCTTTTGGAGTGACGTGTTGGGAGGTGTTCTCACTGGGAAAGAACCCCTACTCTGGAGTGGACTCCTTCTCTCTCGTGCGATATCTTGAGAGAGGAGAGAGACTGGACAGACCTCTCAATGCCGCCTGCTCCCAGGAAATGTATGGCCACCTCTCCACACTAAATAGCTACCATTACATTTCTGAGTAGTGGTATACAGTGGAACCTCTAATAGTGGACCCTCCAGTACAGGAACATCCTCTACAAGGGACCTTTGTTTCAACCACATGCTAATACTTTAGTATTATGACCACTGAGATATGGATGACCACTCTCAAAGGGACAATATTGTTGCACCCATAGTGTCCCTTGTTCAGAGTTTTAACTTATTCATCTTTACTGTTAGATTTGATATGATGAGTAAGTGCTGGGAGGAACACCCAGAGGAGAGACTAACTTTCTCTCAACTGGTGACTGTCATCTCCACCAGTCTCGAAGGGATGGCTGGATACTTGGAACTCAGTAAAACCTTTTCCTAGCCTCCTGCAATACTGCAAGGAATGACTGTTGTTCATTCATTTAGCGGTTGAAATGAAGCACATAGCTAATTATGACAGTGATGTTCTGTACTATTGATCTGTTGCTGGTCATGAATGCATGAGAATAAAAAATATAATCTGCTTTAGAAAGAAACTATGACGTGACGGGGTTATATATGAATGACTCTCTGTCTCGGTGTAGGCATCTTCTTGTTCCCTTTCCTGTGACACCCCTACATCCTAGTTAGTCATCCCTTCGCATTCTAGTTAGGCTCCTGCATAGTAGCTAGTCGTCCCTTTGCATCCTAGTTAGTCGTCCCTTCTCATCCTAGTTAGTCGTCCCTTCGCATCCTAGTTAGTCGTCCCTTCGCATCCTAGTTAGTTGTCCCTTCTCATCCTAGTTAGTCGTCCCTTCGCATCCTAGGTAGTCGCATCTTAGTTAGTCGTCCCTTCTCATCCTAGTTAGTCGTCCCTTCTCATCCTAGTTAGTCGTCCCTTCGCATCCTAGTTAGTCGTCCTTTCTCATCCTAGTTAGTCGTCCCCTTCGCATCTTAGTTAGTCGTCCCTTCTCATCCTAGTTAGTCGTCCCTTCTCATCCTAGTTAGTCGTCCCTTCTCATCCTAGTTAGTCATCCCTTCGCATCCTAGTTAGTTGTCCCTTCGCATCCTAGTTAGTCGTCCCTTCGCATCCTAGTTAGTTGTCCCTTCTCATCCTAGTTAGTCGTCCCTTCTCATCCTATAGTTAGTCATCCCTTCTCATCCTAGTTAGTCGTCCCTTCTCATCCTAGTTAGTCGTCCCTTCGTATCCTAGTTAGTTGTCCCTTCTCATCCTAGTTAGTCGTCCCTTCGTATCCTAGTTAGTTGTCCCTTCTCATCCTAGGTAGTCGTCCCTTCGCATCCTAGTTAGTCGTCCCTTCGCATCCTAGTTAGTCGTCCCTTCGCATCCTAGTTAGTCGTCCCTTCTCATCACAGGTAGTCGTCCCTTCGCATCCTAGTTAGGTTCCTGCACCGTAGCATCTTATATAGTTAGTCGACTCTTCACATCCTAACTAGGATGCGAAGGGTAAATATATGTTATGTACTACGTGCGAGGGACATACCGGATTTCAATGAACCCGAGGGCCTCCGCGTTTGTAGTGTCCCGAGCGCAGCGAGGGCACTACGCGGAGGCCTGAGGGTTCATTGAAATCCTGTATGTCCCGAGTATACGGAGTACATAACATGTTTAGTGCAGAGCAAATCAGCTCCGTATACGCGCACAGCCGCGTTTCCAAGCAGAGGGAATTTGAAAGATGCGAGAAAGAGACGAGAGCGCAAGACCGTCATCTCGTGCGGGACTATTGAACGCCGAACGCTAGGATACGCTGCTCCGCTGCTCTAGCTACTCCCGCTGTGGGACTGTCCTCATCCGAAGAAACGCGACAGGAGACCTGCGCGAACCATCACAATCAGAGAGAGGCGAGACTGTGGAGAATTCAGGCGCTGTGCGGGATGCTATACCGAAGGCGTTCGCCGTAGACTTGTCGCGCGCACTCGCTCGCGGAGCCCCACCCCCTTATTTGCGTGCGGTGGTTTGTGGGCGGGCGTGAGCTGCCTGGCTGTATATATATACATGGCAAGGAGGGAGATGGGCTCAAAGCAGACACAGAAAACTGTCCTTGTGGAAAAGGAAAATCAAGATATCAGTTATTTTGATCAACATTTTGTACAGATCATGTTTTGCGGGATACATTTCCTACATGAAATGCTGTTGAACTTGTTGAAAATCAACAGAAAAAACAAGGTTTCATATCATGTTTCATGTTACTTTTGTTAACTCACGAGGTTCATATGAGAAATCAGGAACCTCGTACTAACAAATCTGATTGGTCGATTCGAATCAGCTATGCACTAACTAAGATTCTTAGTTAGGTTAGGTTGGTAAGGAACATGTCTCTTTATCTATATCTTCTCATGCACACTTCTTCCATATCATACTGTGCATACACACACGCCTCCACGCTTGGACCACATTCTCTCCAACCTCCTCGCTGTGTGGTCTGGGACCTTCAGTACAGTACATTAAGTACTGATGCTAATAGGAGAGAAACATATTATTGTGATTGGGATGATGGATAGCTCTACCCACATAGGCTTGAGGTTTAACCTGTATAATGTTTCTCTCTGAGATTAAGTAAAATAATTATTGGAGCATCTCATCATGACTAAGTATTCTGCCTATCTTTCTTCTAGTCCACTGCAGTTTGGTTTTGAACCTGGTTTTCCACCACTTTGTGTTCTGGTGTTGTCAGAATGTTGTTCACGTTACATTCGTAATGGTTCTCAGTTTTATGGTTGTTTTCTTGATGGCAAAGCAAGGCTTTGACCTCGTAGATCATAGTCCTCTTTTTTGAAAAACTCATTGATCGTGGTTTACCTCTCCCAGTTGTTCGTTTTCTGTCTTTCTGGTACAGTAACCAAAGGATGAAAGTGCGCTGGGGACAGAATCTTTTAAAGTGTCTAATGGTGTCAGACAAGGTGGTGTCTTTTCTGGCTGTCTTGCTTTCTGTGTATTTGGATGGTTTGCCTCAGAAATTGGCTGCTTCTGGTGTTGGTTGTCATTGGGGCAACTTGTTTGCTGGTTATGTTTGTTATGCTGATGACATTGTGTTGCTGTCTCCTTGTGCATCGGCACTTAGAACTCTGCTAAACATATGTTCTTCGTGTGCGTCTACTCATGGTCTCAAGTTTAATGCTGAAAAGACTCAGCTTATTTGTTTCGTCTTCGTCATACCAAACCTAGTTCTCCTGTTTTCATATTGAACAACCACGTCCTGCGCTATTCTAATGAAGTTACTCATCTTGGTCACATCCTCACATCTGATCTAAATGACAGTAGTGATGTTCTCTGAGTTGTCAAAGATCTGAATCGTAAGGCCAATTATCTACTCTGTGCCTTTCATGCAGCTAATCCATCTGTGAAGTGCTATTTGCTTAAGTCCTTTTGCCTATCTTTGTATGGCTGCTCTTTATGGTCACTCTCGTCGTCCTATATAGATCAGGGTTATTGAAGTCGCTTTGAATAAACTATTACGTAAACTCTGGAACTTGCCCCGCAATTCTCATCCAGCAATTGTCCATTGTGTTGCTCAGATTGATACAATATCTTTTATGGTGTACAGTCGTTTCTCCTCCCTGTTGTCTACTGTTCATCGTCCTCATCTTTAGTTCGTTCTGTTTTTATCCCAAGTCGTTTATTCTCTCACTGGAAAAAATAATTTCTATGGCATTCAACATCTACTCCGGGTTGTATTCTCGTACGTACGTGTCTGTCACGCTTAAGAATGTCAATTAGTCACGCTTAGGAATGTCAACTTCCGTCATTCGTATATATACAAGTGTAAAAATCATTTCTTCAAAATGAAAGGGGGATAGCTATAGGGATGGCTTGAAGGACCAAAAAAGGAAGAAACAAGGGGTCATTACACAGCAAAGTTGCACAAAGCTACATGACACCATCCCTATATCTTTGTTTGATATTGTTTGATATTAAACTTTGCTTATAACAATAAAACAAAGATATAGGGATGGTGTCATGTAGCTTTGTGCAACTTTGTTGACCCCTTGTTTCTTCCTTTTTGGTGCTTCAAGCCATCCCTATATCCCCCTTTCATTTTGAAGAAATGATTTTTACACTTGTTTCCACTATTTAACAGCTTATGGCAACACTGCATTTATTGTTACAGTCATTCTGATTTTCATTTGTAGATAGGCTACCATAGTAACTGTTGAAAGTAGTAGCTAATGGGCTGCTAGATACCGCATTCACCTCATGTATTGTCTTCAACAAGGATGTAATTAGATTATTGCACATGGTTGTGGTTTCATTGGCAGGCTTTGGTAATCAGGCTACAACCTGGGGGGGGGACAAACAATGAAGGCCCATTTGACTGAGTGCCCCGCAAGGCTCGCGTAACACCGCGCTGACTCTGGCAAGTTGCTCTTCGTGCAAATCAACAGCAAGATAGCCAGTTGGAAATGTGCACACTTACTTACAGAAGGTACTGGAGGCTGACAGTTCCTCTGCAGGTCTGCCAACTCGCCCGGTAGAATACGCTCGCAAGCACATTGGTCAACGCCCCTACCAGGCGTATGCGCGCGGATCACTGATGCTGAGTAAGCAGCAAATGGCGTTGTTCAGGTCGACCATGGAAGAGCTCCATGATCTACCGTAGTGACTAGCGGCAAGAAAGAAACGATTGCTTGGTGTCCGTGCACACCTCCGGCGAAATTGGAGACCTTCAGTGAAAAAATCAGTGCTTGAACTGGTACTGGTAAGGAGATAGCGGGTTTAAAGAAGAAGAAGAAGAAGAAGATGAAGAATATGATGACACGAAAATCGTGAAATCGCGTATGAGCGAATTCTCGCGTGGACGACTGAAGCTGCGTATGAGCTCTTGGGGGACATGTATAGGTAGATATGGGTCCGTAGACTATTGCTAGTATGTTTTGAAGGCTTAGGGAGTGATTCTCACCGAGTTTTTAGTCGTTTTGTACGCGGATCACATGAGATTTCACCCGTGTCATCCCTATATAGAGAGTCTACCGACTCTCTAATAAGAAGTCTAGCTTCCGCTGTGCGCGCGCGCAGATTCGTAGGAAGTCTGGCTTCGCGCGCAGTCAGTAGAGCGCGCGAACGAGCGGTCTCAGCGGACTGTTTACGCACGCATTGGCTAGCAGGCGCGAGGCAAGATATGCGCGTGCGCATTCCTAGTTACAACTTTTCTGACTTCACTACAGGTTATTTTATTACACATCTCAGACATATTTATGGTCTTCATTCTCCCTGTGAAAGTAGTTATCATTTGTCATTTGTCTTCTTTGTAGTCATTATTATGGTGAGTGTTCTGTGGTCGGTCAAGGAGCCCTTAGCTAAGCCCTCGGTTGGCGACGGGGTAGAGTCCAGAAGGCCGTGTTCTGTTCTCCACTTTCTCTCTATTAATTTTTTTATGTTGTTTGTCTATTCTGCACCTTTACTGGTGTGTGCAATCAATCAATAATAATAATAATTATTATTATATGGAAATATCCGCTCGAACGAACGACTAGGTTGGTTTGCTCCCGCTCGCCAATTACTAGTGGA